CTGTAACTATCTGTTAATGGCAAAAAACATCATTGCCGCTGTGCCTTTTTATCAAAAAATTGTAGAAATTTAATTTTAATTTTAAACTTAATTTCGACAGACCTGCAGTTTATGTACAAATATATATTTACGACCCTTTGCAATTAATACTGTTTTTAATTATTTGCAATTAATACTATTTTTAATTATTCAGAACGGAAAAAAACATGGAAAAATATTAATGCTGAATAATTAAATTAATTTAATTAATTGAGAAAATGTTCAAAATGTTGACCGTTTTACCGAACATCTAAGTTACTTGTTTTCAAAAAATTGAACTGTTTTTTGTTAAGTTAACTAGCTATCATTGGAGGGAAAGATCGAGTGGTTGATAGCCTTTTCTCTTTTCTCTCTTTTCTTGTATAAAGAAGTATTATTGAACTGCTCTCTGGGCATCGTTTCGCGTTTGTTTTTAAAATAATCTGTAGTAGTGATGGGAACTATCGAATAATTCGATAGTAGTACTATCGAATTATTTGATGTAATTTATTCGAAGGCGATTCAGTGATGGAAACCATCGAACTATTCGATGTTTCTTTTCAGTAGTTAATAAGTTAATTTGCAATTGTAATTCATTTGAGTTGTTCGACAGCAGTTCATTCATTTGTTTTATAATTATAGGATAATCCGATTGCTATAATTCCATTGCATGGACGAATTCAAATTTGAAATAAATTAGTTTTTCACTTTTTAAGCAAACATATTCAATATATTATTATGTTCATTTATTAAAATTGGTTTTTTGTTCAAAAATTTAAAAAATTGTTAATGTTCAAAAACAAAAAAAAACAAAAATTTACAGATTTTTGGGAAAAGTTTATAATAAATTGTATTAATTTTTATCATTGATTAACTATTTTTTTTGTCAAAATGGACTTTCACCACTTTACATATGTTACTAGAGAATAGACCGTACCTGTCGAAATGTGACTTTGCCTGTTGGGTGACCTTACAGAAATACCTAAAAAACTCATAAATTATAAACTGACCTGCCTAAAACAAATCAACCTATTCACACTAGACCAGAAACAGATAAATTGTGTAAATATTGGCATCGTGATAATAAACAGCTTAGGGTCATACAGAACACGATGCATCTCGAATCTGAAAGATGCATTTTAAGTCGCTGCATTAATTTTTTATAAATAAAGTACAGTTCTAAATGAGTTCATACTATTCATTATTCATGAATTCGTGAATTCATTCGATAGTTGCAATCATCACTTGCATCACTAATCTGCAGCACTGAAAATCCTTTCCAGTAACTCAGTTTCTGTAGCGACGGCAATAATTTTTACGCTCATTGGTCATCATTGACTGTTGCTCTGTTAGCCCTAAGTAATTTTTCCAAGACAGCAATTGCCCATAAGACCTTTCTTTTATTTAAGGTCGACGGGGGAGGAAGCCAAAAGCACCAGTCAAAGCAGAACCGAAGGAATCTCACGGAAGCACTACCGAGTTTTTGGACACCTCAGCGGATGATGATAACAATTTAGAAGTACAAATTGATCCACTGAACTTTGTACAATCCGATTTCGAGGAACACAGTAGTACACAAAGTAATGGAAAATTTCCGCGAGCGTATTTCAATGAAAGGGCTGCAATTTCAGAAGATAAATCCAGAGAAACCTCGTTGAAAAACGGTTCGTGCAGCCCATTACTAGTCGCTGATGTCATAGAAAGATATGTTCCTCCTGAACTAGATGAAAAGGAAAAGAAAGTCGTTTTAAGTAATGAATACCTCCTAGGCAATAGTTTTGATATGAGTGCTGATGAATTTCTTGAGAAACAAGCACAAAAGCATGATGCTCTAGAAGAGGATGAAGTAGTCGTTCCTCTCGTAAATTTTGATGATGACAGTAATAGCGATGACGATGTCGTTATTATTGAAAAGAAACCAGAAATCATTGTTTTAGATGATGACTAAACTATTTATTGTACATTTTGTAAAGTTTTTAGATTAATTGTATGTTGAGAATCGAATTCAAAGATTTTTAATAGTGTTTTGTGATATATTCAAGCAGCACATTTCAAGATCTAAATTAAGTGTTTAACATAGTTGTGATCATTTGAATTAGGACTGAAACGAAATCGTGAAAAATGAAGTGTAATTTTACGCAATTGTCTGGATAGTTTTTTTTTTATCAATAATAAGAAGAACAATGAACCATGGTTGTTTTATAAGGCGTTGAAAGCAATTCCAGCAACTGCGTTATATAAATGATTGCGGAAATAAATGCATATCTCTGGGAAGATGTGAATAAAGCAAAGTAAAATTAGCACTGTTGATGAACGGTATACATAATAGGCATGAATCAAAGAACGATTATTAATAATTAATATATCAGTGAATTCGCTATTCAAAGAGCTACCTAATACATAATGTACTTTTTTCGGTCCATATGGAAAACAAAAGTTGTTCGTTGGAATACATTTTTATAGACACATCTTGTAGAGCTCGAAAAGGTGTCATGCGAAAGAATTTTTGGTTTTTCATATGATTTCAAATAACTTCAAAAATCTAAAATCTGAAAAATCACTTTTCTGAATATCTCAAAAATTAGAAAAAATACTTGAATTTTGAAAATGCAATGTATATGGCCCCCTGATTCGTATCCCAGGCAATGCATCCTTATCTTGGACACCCGGTATACCTAGTCAGCTAAATGCTCCCGGCTGTGGAAGGAAGATAAACACCGATCGTATAATTTTATTGATTAATTTGAAACTCGCGTTTTTAAAAACACTTTATTTCAGAATTAATACAATATTTTTATAATGTGGATTTGAAATGTGTGTGACCGAACCTAACCGTAGACTCACTATCTTTAACTTAGAGTAAACGGACCTAACCATAGGCTGTCTTTAACTGAATTATCTGCCGTTTCTACTTTTATAGTTAAATCATGCTGATCATAGCAGAAACGATACTACGTCTTATTTTAAACGTTTAGTCGGCGTAAGTGCCATATAATTGTATCTCGGCAAATGAAATGTTTAAGACAAGCAAAAAAATTAATCGAAAAGAAAGACAAAAATATATATCGAAACCGAGCGGAACGTTATGCATTAAGATTTATTGCTGTACTCTGCCAAAAATAGCCAAATTTGGACGTACAGTAGAAGTTTGTACGAAGGCTTATACTGAACTGGCCCTTCAGTATCTATCTAATCAACAATTTTATATTCTAATCTAATTTATTTATCTCTAATATAATGCCTCGTTGACTCTTTTTATTTCTAAAACACTACTGAAACTAGAAGTTTATATTACTATGTACATATATTTTTCTATTTTATTCCCTTGTTAGATTTGGTGGATTCGTGTTTCGTTCTTGGTATTTCAGCATGCAATTTTTGAAGTCGGTAACCTGTTTCTGGCACTTTCTCCAATCTTGTGTTTCGCTAATACACTCCTAAAAATAGATTTTATTTAGGTCATATAGAAAAATGCAATAAAACTTAATCTTTATTTAAATAGATTTTTTAAGTACGGTAAAAGATCAAGAAATTTCACATATTCTGCTTAATTCAGAAGTTCATGTTATTAATCTGTACGGGGCCCACAGAAACGTATGGCGGTGCCCCGACTTCTGTGACGTCATCACAGAAGTCCATCGGCTGCAAGAACAGACGTTCCAGCTTGCCGTTTAGTTTACATTTACATCTTTTAGTACGTGCTGTTAAGTAAA